TGGAAGTCACCATTTTAACGTATGCAAGTCCGTGGCTTCTAGAGCAACTACAAGGCTGTGCAACCATCACCACTGTCTAATTTTAGTACTTTTTTTTATCAACCCCCCCTCAGAAAGCTTGTCCCCTTTAGCTATCATCCAAACTTCTCCCACCTCCTCAGTCCCTGGCAACCTCCAATCTACTTTCTGTCTCCAAGGATTTGCCTATCTGGACATTTCATGTAACTGGAATTAATAACCTTTGGGAACTCTGATGAAATCAGTGGACCTCTCCTTTGTAAGATTTATTTTTGCTCTCATAATTTTTACAAGGGATTGGGCATGGTCCATTTGCTAGAAATAGTTTATAAATTCATGAATTTTTGAAGGTTAGAACTACTGTTTTCCTTGAAACGATTTCTTGTTCCTTTAATTTTTTTTTTTTTAGTTTTTCTCTTGGGGATATAAGGTTCATGAGCTTTAGCAAGGGTAAGGAGCTCCTTCCTTTAGGGTGCCTTTTTTTACTTAAAATTAATTTTCAGGGAAGGGATACCTTTCGTTATCTCAGGTCATGGGCTTTTTTCTCCTGTATTTTATTTGTGATTTTTTTCCTTCTACTTTGACAATGAGGTCTGTTGACTATGGTGAGGGTGGGAGGAATCTCCTTTTGGGAATGGTTGTTGTTGTTGTTTTTTTTAATCCTTAGAATTGTTACTTTTTTCCACTGGAGGAAGTATAGCCTGTGGGCTTTGGAAGGAATGGGCACCCTGTCCCTAACAGAATTTCTATTTTCTTTCCCCAAAATGTCATCTTTGGAAGTAAGGGCTCCGGTCTTTTGCCTCTTCTTCCTTCTCAGTCCCCAGCTCTAAGATGGCCCCCTCTGGGAGCCTTAGAAGGAAAACAACAATTATGATTTAGGAAAAAAAATCAGGACTGATGGAATGTCTGCTTAAAGATTGTTCTTAGATGAAAAAGGATCTTCTAGCTATATGTTGGCTGTTTTAGAAAATTTCACAATGAATAAATAACGTAATCGTTATATCTTACTAGGTGCCAAGTTTTATTTGGTCCTCTCCTAACCTGCTTCCTTCTTCTGGGGAGTGAAAGAGTTAATAATGCAGGAGAAAGCATTCTTTCTGGCACTACAGAAGGTGAAGTGAGTGCCATACTAGCAGACAGGATTAGAGTCCATATAATGCCTCTGACTGGTTTCCTGGCCTCTGAATTTTTCACATTTCCTTGGAAGCACTTTGGGTAATCTCTCAGCCTTTCGTTTTGGGCTGCATCTATGCAGACACCCCGTCAGAGATTTTAATAAACACAGAAGAATTGTACTCACTCATGTAAAGGAAAGACCACTGACCAAATACCTCATTATCATTTCTAGACCACCCTGCAGCAAATGCTCAGAAGCTCTCAGAATATACCAAATAAATCAGATGGTATCATCAAAATCTGGCAAGTGGGGGGAGGGAGGAGAAAGTAATTACATCCTGACCTCCAACAGGTTAAACATTCAAATCTACAATACCAGAACTGTTTATAGTCACTGCAGATACTCTTGTTAATTTAGGGAAAAAAATATTATCCCCAAAATAACATCATTATTAGTCTGCTGTTGCCAGGACTGTAGAGGATAAGACATTTTCCAAACCATTTTTTAATTGATAGTAATTTGCTTCTTAATTATGGTTCCAACACCCATTCTGAAAATGGAAAGATTGACTGCATTTCCTTAAGGCCTATATATTGCAGGTTATTTAAAAAAGCATTTACTTGTCACTCTGAAGCCAATGAGAATTCAGGAGTAGTCTCAATGTTTCTGGAAATGGAACTGAAAAGCTTCAAGCTTCAGCAAATGTTTATTGAACAAAAATCTAGAAGGTTGAATTGTAATGGGCGCTGGGAAGCAGAGACAGTATCTACCTTTGAGAAGCTCAGAAACAGGTAAGATAAAGTATTCAGGCAATAATTACCAGATATATAAACAAATGCTTGCTACTTTGCAAGAAACCTTGTGCAAAAAATACCAAGGGAACTGTTTGCTTATGGTCTTGGGGTAGAATGGGAATTGCTTTGTAGGAGGGATCCATGGACCATGCCCACCCATGAAGTAAAAGCCACGTAAAATGTATTTCTTCTCATATTTTCATCAACCAATGGTATGGTGTGATTATCATTTCATTGCTAGTCAAAACCCAATAAATAAAAATATAAACAATCTTTCTTCAAACCACACTGAGGGGAAGAAACAAATATGGTCCACTTCACAGAAACCAGCTCACACCATGAGAGGAGAGTTATAGCACTGTTAAAGAACCAATTCACACATCCTCACTTACACTTGCTGCCACCAGGTGGGAGACCATGGCTCACTTCCTGGAAATCAAAACATTTTAGAAATAGACCAGTTTGGTTCACGTCTGTGTTATCCTGGTAGCAATTGGAAAGAAAACATGAGCACCCTTTTCTCAATTTATGCCCTCTTGCTTGGCATAGATTTGCAACCAGTATGTTCTGAAACCTCACTGAAATACCAAAAGAGCAGAAAACACACTAGATTTTTTGTTTACTACAATACCATTCAGTAAAATTATCTGACATAAATTCACAGTCACATTCAAGCACTTGGTTTTGCTCATTTTATCCTTTGCATTACCAGGCTAGATTCAGACTACCCTTACCGACTGTTCTTCTCCACATAGGATTTCATTATATGGTAGAGCTGTATTGGGGGTGAGGGTGGGGGGAGAGAGAAAGAGAGAATGATTTTCCCCAAGCTTGCCTGAAGGAGGCAGTGTCAGTGTCTGAGAACAAGGCTTGCCCAACTAAGATGGCAACCTGTTTGCTTTAATGTTAGGGTGTAAGTCAGTGGGTAAGGGCGCTATTTACCTGAGAAAGAAACAACAGAGAACGGTCCTATCACTGAAGATCAGATATTCCAGTCTGCATCAGAGGGAAACAGTCTAGCAACACTAGGGTGTTGGAGAAGGCCTCGGTACTCAGCAATTTAAGCATTTACCAAGCTCCTTTGCCTCCTTCAAAATCCTCTAGAGCCACTGGTGGATTCATAGACAGGCCCTTTTTAGCCACAGGACAGGCTTCTTGACCCCAGTCTACAGGGTAAGTAACTCCATAAGGACTGGCTCTAACAAAAGCAGAGTCAACCCTAGGAGGTCCTGGTCCCCTCCCAGGGCTGCCAAGTGTGTGCACAAGGAAGGCTGGCCGGATTCCCCTCTTTGGATCCCCAACTTTCTAGCAACAGCCATTTTCTCTTGCTTTCCCACTGCCACAGGGGATCCTCAGATCTCCTGGCCAGTCCGCCTTCCTGAGGCCCAAGAGAATGTACATTCGCTGGTCACCATGGCAATCAAGTCCCCAGGTGTCGGTTTCTCAGCCCTGTTCTTGAGGACCACAGGTCAGGTGGTCCAGGCTGGCTTCATACCCAACAACTTCAAGAAAACTTCCAAAAAGACAGAGCAAGCACTCACACAGGTGAACTCTGGGTCCACCTGCCCCACCCTTTTCCTTCTGGAACTCACTGCAGGGAAGGGCCCCTGCTGAAGGGGGGGACATCCACCCTCCACCCCAACCCCCCACCCCTTAACCCCTTTGAGAGCAAGGTTGTGGGCTTTTTTAAAAAAAAGCCTTACTCTCCAACTGTTCTATTTTATTTATAAACGGCTGCACTCCCCCCACCTGTGAAACTTCTCTTTAGCTTCCGTGTTTTCAGTCGTGTACCATTGCAGTTATTTAGCAAAGCCAAGCCTCCCTACTCACCACTCCCACAGCAAGGCACTTTTCCTTGTCCACCTCCAGAGGGGAACCTCTGCTCCCTCCCCTACATTCTACAAGTGTGCGGGCCACAGCAGGGTTCCAGCCCAACTGACAGGCATTGTTGGTGCGGTGGTTTGTTTCTGGCTTAGTTTTTCCCCAGGGGAAGCTAAATTAAGGGGTGTGTGTGCATTGTTACGATTTTTCACAGTGTCCTGGAACGAAGTTTAGGGGAATGGAAGCACAGGCAGAGGGCAGAGATAGCCAGAGAACAGTCGGGGTTTCAGGGATTGAAGACAAACACTGAAAGCCTTCTTTCCCTTCCCCTTCCCTCTCCTCGGCGTGTGTCCGAGGTCCTCCGCTTCTCTGGCTGAAGTGCCACGTTTAGGAAGGCTTCTCTGAAGACTGGAAGAAATAAGGGTTCCCGTTCAAATGTTCTCAAATGGCAGCTCCTATTTTCCTGTCTCTACACCAGGACTCGGGTACCATTCCAACTCGCCCGGGTGTGGGATGCCAGTATCCCGCTTGTGAACTGGCCCATCATTGCTTGCACCTACCTCCTGGGAAATCCTGCAGACGGCCGGAATGGTGGCTCTGACACAGGCATGTTCTCCCCTGGCCCCTCGAACCCTGCCCTTCCCCTGCAGTGCGCGTGGGCGCCGCCCATCCCCTAATCCCCTTCCAGAGGACCAGCGGCCAGCAGCCAAGAGACTCATGGCACCTCCCCGGAGCACAGCCAGTTGCGCCCCATCTGAGGAGCCCCTCTCCAGGGGCAGGAGGGGCCAAGCAGACTGCCGCTGCTCCGCAGCCTGGGCCACTGCGGCAGTGGCCGCAGCTAAGAGGTGTGTCCCCCGGCCGCGCTCAACCCCGTGCCTGAGAACCAGAGCGGGCCCCATCACCTCTCTAGGTATCTTGTGCTCCCTCAGGGCGGCTTCCCCCTGTTTCAAGACCCAGGCGCTCGCCGCACTGCCGCTTCTCCCATAGGGAAAGCTGCTCCCTGCGCCCTGCTGTCACCTACATCTCTAGCCCCAAACAGCCCTCTCTCCCTTCCACATGTTGCTTCCAATCTTCCAACTGCTGCCCTCTCCCCCAGGTTCCGATCCTCGGCATCTTTATCCGCATCTTTGCCCGTCTGTGGTTGCCAAATGGGAGGCGAGGGTTAGCCAGGGACCCAGGCGCTCAACAGCGATCTGGCCTCGCCTAGCTTGGGTCCCCAGCCCCAGGGGGTCTTTCGCTTACCTTTATACTGGACAGGGGCACTGGCCTTCCGGGCGACGGTGAGGTCTTTAGACCCCTCTCTGGAGCGACCACCGAACGAGGCAACAGACAGAGCGCCGGACTTGGCTGCCGACGGGACTGTGGAGTCGCTTCAGCGCAGGACTCTGGGGCCGGGTCTGGGACCGGCGCGGTGGCTGGTTCTGGGACCGGCTCTGGGGTCGGCTCTGGGTTCGGTTCTGACGCCAGTTCTGGGACCGGTTCTGGGGCCGGCTCTGTGTCTGATTCTGGGGCCGGCTCTGGGACCGGCGGGCTGACTGGTTCTGGGGCCGCTTCTGAGATTGGCTCTAGGTCTAGTTCTGGGGGCGGTTCTGAGTCTGGTTCTGGGATTGGGTCTGTGTCTAGTTCTGTGGCTGCTTCTGGGGTCGTCTCCGGACAGGGTTCTGGAGCAGGCTCTGGACAGAACTGTGGTGCGGGTTCTGGCGAAGGCGCGAGCAGCAGCCTAGGGGCAGGCGGCGGCTTCGGCGGCGGCCACGGCGGCGGCGGCTCTGGCGACTCCGCGGGCTGCTCTCCATCCTGAGGCGGGGCAGTGCCCTGGGCCGCCGCAGCTCCGCGGTCCATCGCTGCGCGCCGCCTCAGGTCTGGGCAGCGGGAGCCGGGAGCTTGGAGGGCTAAAGTACCCTCAGGCGCCCCACCCACTCCAGTTCGACCACCCCTTCCAGGGTGCCAAACTTTGCCCCGCCGCGCTCCATGGCTGGCTCGGCTCTGCGCTCTAACTGGGGGCGTTCGGCGTCTCCCAGTGCGGGAACACGCCCCTCGGTGAGCGCACACCTCTCCGTAAGCAGCCGCGGGCCCGATGGGCGGGAAGCAGAGGGGCTTGCGAGCGCGGACTGGACAGAGCGCCTGATGACCTCCTAGCGACGCGGGAGCGGGGGG